GAGAGAGAGAGAGAGAGAGAGAGAGAGAGAGAGAGAGAGAGAGAGACGAGAGACGAGAGAGCGGTACTTGCCGCACCACACAACGATGTTGTAGCCATGGAACTTCCGGAGCACGGACTGGAGCGCACGATCAACGGAATTAAGGCCGCCCTCGCGGCTGTTTTCCCGACGACTCAACGTCGTGACTTCGGGAAGTATCATCGACTCTATTTTTGCGACTCCCGGAAAAGCGTCACGCCACCCGACGCGGCCTACTTTCGTGTTCGTTCTATGCAACGGGAACTCGACGTGCGCTGCGTCGCGTCGCTCTCGATGTCACGTCGCCGATGCAATTACTCACGTGCGGCCAGGACGAAGAGAGAGAGAGAGAGAGAGAGAGAGAGAGAGAGAGAGAGAGAGAGAGAGAGAAAGAGAGCCAGATGGTTATCCCATGGATAACAGAATCAGGCTGAACAGTTGATCACGAGGCTCGCTAACAGCGCGGGTCAAAGTCTCCAGACGATGGCGGCATCCACGAGCCCGACAGACTGTCGTCGTCATCGTCGTCTCTCGCGACAATCGAGATTCTATCGGGTGAAGAACGCGTCCGTTGCTTCACATTCTAATACCAATTAGCGGGATATAACGAGTAGACAATTAGATCCTCCCCCGTTCATCTACTATCTTGCCTTTTTGTGAGAGCGTCGGGCGCGATACGTCACACGCACGAAAAAATGTCGGACGCCCGGGGCTTGTAATTAACTGGAATGAATCTGGCATCTTTTGCGCAATTATCACAACCAGCAGCACAAGGAGACAAAAAGGCAGCGAGTTAGCGCAGGAAATGTGGAAACGGTTGTAATCAGCTAAATGGATATTCTCGCCGAGTCGCATTTGCAGTAACTGAACACGTACAGCTCCAATATGCCATTACGCGCTTTTTCTCCTCGAGATCCAGTAATGCCGCGAGACGTCGGATCGACGTGAGTTGCCAACGGTACGGATGTCTCGGCGTGGTTCACACGTGAAAAAGTATCGACGATATTTAGATTCCCGTTCGCATGTGGAAGAAATGCCGCGATCGCGACCCGAAGCCAGCTCGATCGTTAGATCGTTCGTGTCGGCTGTGCACGTATTGGCCTCGCAATGGGTGTGATTTGCGGTCGAATCACGAGCGGACTAGAAACGCGGCTCGCCATACAAGCAAGTATGCGTGTCGCTAAATCATAGCTCGCGCCTCGTGATCGTAGGTATGTACACGTGCGATCGCGGGGGACGGGCTAAGATGGAAAGAAAGAAGAGAGAGAGAGAAAGAGAGAGGGAGGGAGAGAGAGAGAGAGAGAGAGAGAGAGAAGGGAGCGCACAGTAATGAAGCGAGTTGCGGACACGCGGTAACCTAACGGTACAAAACAAAGCAGTGAATAAAAGAAAGTACAAAATATAGGACGATACCGCGCGCATATTACCAAGCCCAACTAAACCCGGGAAATTAAGGATCACGGAACGGGAACAGAGGCGCGTTTCTCTTTCTCTCTCTCTCTCTCTCCTTGAAGGAAAAGAGAAGCATCACATGCAGGCCGTCACCTTATAATCGTCTCTCCATTACAACGGAGATACATGCGAGATGTTTATAAAAGCAAACAGTACAATACTCAATGTAACAAAAGTTATCGAGTTGATTATGCTCCGAACAGTCGAGAAGTGTTTATAGTTTCGACAGCAGTCGCTGTTGATATCAGCCCCTCTCTCT